AATCAAGAAAGGACTTGTATCGCTGAAGTTCCTCGGAAATAATTTTACCGGAAATTATCAAACAAGCAGATACATAACACTATTTATTAACTACAATTTCAGCAACACACTAACACAAGAGTCAAATAAATAAAATACAAAATAACAATTATAATATTCATAACAAATATTGTTGTAAAGTTTTTCTTTTGTTGGCGAGATTTTGAAATTGTCTAATGAAAATAATTCAACACCCAGATCACATAACAATAACAAATTAGTTTTTATTTCCTACTCAGGCTTGTTCATGTTATAACTTGTTGTAAGTTTTCATCTACAGCCAAGCTATCTCCATTACACTGACACAAAAATCAAGTTGTACAAAGTAAATAAATATGCAGTATAGCTAATACAGGTTCAAAAACGCACTCACACTGACTGAATCACTCTACTGGCTAGAAAACAACTCTATCTTCCCGATGCACCTAGTGTCCTGTGGTTTATTAACTCTATTCTGTGTAATTAGTTGCCAGCGGTCTTAATTAATGGATTCTAGCTCCAATGCCAACCGCAGAGCATTCTTTAATGATGTACACCTACTTTACTTTAGCCTAATTCTCATATCTTCATCTATTATGGCATCTATAAACTTTTCATGTGCCAACAAATTCATCATTTCACAAAGAGCACCCGGATAAGATAATTGAATATTCTGAAAGTTTGACTAAGATCTCTTCTTTCGTCCATACACAATTCCAGAACTTTGCTCTAGATACTTCTTTCTGGAATGATATTTCGAAACTGTTAGATAAGACGGCTTCCAATGCTTGATAGTCTTTATGACTCTCAGCTATAAAGTTACTTAAAGTTGTCAAAGCTGGTTCTTTTAGATGAGCAGAAAGATGGATGACTTGTTCACTTTCCACTAGTTTCCTTTGGAAATGATTTCAAACTGAACCTGGTATGACTCCCGTGATACTTTCCCATCAAAGTACATTGGTTTCTCTATTAGCTGATGTTGAAATGACCTGTGGAATTATAGAATTGAATTTTGCAGTGTCATGACTTGAATTGTCCACGAATGTCCTTCAGTAACGGTTGACACAGCAATAGTGGTAATAGGTGTAGTCCATATAATTTCTCCTGTCCCATATTTTGTAAAGATGATGTGCTGGGCTGGAATTTCTGAGTTGGCGCAGAAAAAAGGTGTGGCTAGTTTAACCTTTGCATTGGATAGTTTATTTTTCAGAGTTTTAATTCTGTAACAAATATCTTTTCTACTTTAATAACGCTCTTGTCTACCTTGTTGATGTCCTTATGTACTTCAATATTGTCATTACAGCTTTACCATAGTTCTTCAATCTTATTATTGTAATTTCTCTGTGCTTCCTCCATAACTTCATGGATTTTGTCTTGAATCTGAATAATTTTTTCATTTTAATTTTTCTTTAAAAGGTAGATCTCTTTCTCAGAGCCAGCCTTACAGATTGCAAGGCCCAAAGGCAGAGTAAGTCTCGGGGCCCTTTTCTATAAGTAAAAACTAAGATATAAATTACAACATAAAAAACTATAGTTTTTCTATATCATTAAAATAGTAACGGGTGTGCATGCGTGAGAAGCTTTCTCAAGGCAAAAATGAAATTAGGAGTAGGGAAGTACCTAGAATGTCACCATATGTGGTGGGAAACCTTGTAAACGTTTTGAAACTATGCAAAAATGAAATTACAAGTAAACAAGTACAGACAGCGTCATCATATAAGGGGAGGATTGGTGTATATAGTACTGTGCATTGCAAATGGAAAAGTATTTGGGTAATGGATCTGTCATCCCTCAATATTCTATCTCAGACAGTAGTGTTTATGTGTTAAGGTTTTGTATGTGAATTTCTTCATTTCTCTATAGATTACCAGTACCGCCACTCTGTTGAGTTTTAATACTTGCCCCCGATACCCAAGTTCTGAAAGGGTCCCTAGGTCTGGTGTCACTTACTAGATAAGTAGATTGGTTTATCATTTTTAATCACATCATTCAGCTCAAAGTGTCTTTTGTACTATAAGTGTTTGGTGGTATCACTTGTTGTGGAATAGGTTTAACTACGCAGTCATTGAGACGCTCTGCATGGCTATCACATTAGTTCAGAACTCTACGTAACTAACCTTTTGCGTGATTAGTCTAGGCAGGTCACTTAAATATTTTAATTACTTTAAATACATAGCACTGTCTTTACATTATGTAAACTTTGTGCATTCAGATATAAAATACTCAACCAAAATTTTTTTCGTACGCGAAACATTAGTTTTCTCTCCTAGTAACGATATAAAGTAACAACAACGATTTTTTAATGAATATAAAGTAATGAAAAAATTCTTTCTAATAAATATACAATAATGACAACGATTTTTTTGTCAAATCATCATGCAAATATTTATAAAGAACAAACTATAAAGACATATTAATGACAACTTACAAAATAATAGGTTTATATGAAAGAACTAAAATTGTCGTTGTTAAAGAGATACATTTGCAAACATATGTTTTACAATGAAATGTCCAGCTATAACATGTTATAATGTTACGGTTAATCTCACTATTCGTTGGTAAAAGAGTAGCACAAAAGTTGGCGGTGGGTGGTGATGACTAGCTGTCTCCCCTCTAGCTTGTCACTGCTAAATTAGGGACGGCTAGCGCAGATATCCATCGTGTAGCTTTACTCGAAATTCAAAACAAACAAACAATCTTCTCTAAATGATCC